AAATCAAACATCACAAAATTCCTAAAATCAAAGCCCTAATTAATTTCAACAAAATCCCCAAATTTTAATTCTTTCCTAATTAAACCCTAAAATACTTAATTTCAAATTAAAGATGCATAAGGTAATTAAAAAGGAGAGAATGAGAAGAATAATTGTTGCCAAAAGGAGAAGTTGTTAGCAAGAGGAGAAGTTGATGTCTATATGTCAAGAGAAGTAAAGGAGAAGTTGTTGTAGACAAAGACAAGAGGAGAGAAGCTGCACAGTCAATATTTTTTTTTTTTTTGCAAAAATTTGGGCCCCAGCTTGCCCTTGACATAGAAATGCCCCTGGACAGCTCCCAGACCAAACCCTAACCCTAGCTTGTGTCTCTCCTCGCTAGTGAAAGAGAATCGATTATCTTGTGTCTTTACTTTTTAAAAGTTTGAGGCAAGTTAAGTATATGCAGACTTGTGAATAAAATTACTAGTTACATTTTTTCTTTTTTGGGTAATCTTATTTGTATTATACTTTATGTCTAGGTCATAACATGTTCCACGAACGAGCCGCTTTTTCTTGTCTTACAAAATTCACAAAAGTCCCTTATTGTCTTATCCATCCAAGACAGGTAATCACACAAACTGGTGGACATAATTTGCTATGCCTGCTAGTGCCAGCTGCTGCACTAAGAAACATATGAACTCCGTAATGTTGGATACAACTATATTATCTTGGAGAAAAACTTAGAAAGTTGACAAGAAGAGAGGTTGTTCACTACTTTTCAAATCAAAATTTTCATAAGGAAGCCGGGAGATAATTCCAACATGAAGTCACTACCATATATGTATCAAAAGTCGACAAAGGGCAGCTTAAGGTTCCAATGAGAATCACTTACGATGATATTTGCCCTTTGGATTGTAGCAAATAGCAGGACAACTAAGTGACAATCAGAAGCTAACACGACCAGATGATTTAAAACTGGATTTTTCTTAACTTTTTCTAAACAATAAGGAGCAAGAAAAGCTTTAAAAACTCAGTAGATTCAGAGAAAGAGGTAGAAAAGATAGCCAAGGAGAAAAAAAAAAACCCAAAAAGGATGACTACTTTGGGAGGCCTAATAATCATTCTTCCAAGCTTTCTGTGTCTGCTTCTTGTCTTAGCTTTCATCAAGATCCTTCACAAACTATGGTGGACTCCAATTCGCATAAAGAAGCTGATGGCTTTGCAGGGGATCAAAGGCCCTTCTTACAGATTCTTCTATGGAAACACCAAAGAAATCTCCAACATGAAAAAGGAAGTCATGGGCAGGCCCCAACTTTTATCACACGACATACTTTCTGTAGTTCAACCTCACATTCACTCGTGGACCAAGATTTATGGTAACAAACAAACAAGCCATCTCAATTAGTTAACTTTGTATTTAAATCTTAGTTCTAACAAGATAAGTTTTGGTCATTTTTGCATGCAATTGCAGGGAAGAATTATCTTCAATGGCATGGTTCTCGGGCTCAGTTGGTCATTACAGAACCTGAGTTGTGCAAAGAGATACTGAATAACAGAGGCAGAGCTTATTCAAAAAGAGAGCCCCCACACCTTGTGAAGAAGCTATTGGGAGATGGCCTTGTGGCAACAACCGAAGCTGAAAAATGGGCAAAACTACGAAAGCTGGCCACCCATGCCTTCCATGGAGAGAGTTTAAAAGTAAGTTTTTTAAAGTTACTGATACTTTGTTGCGAAGAGTATTATAGTAACAGTTGTGCATGAAAAGAATAAATTGAAGGCAAAAGTCTGCTAATAGCATGATGGTATTATTGTTTTACTAGAGTATGATTCCAGAAATGGTAGCTAGTGCTGAGACGATGCTAGAAAGGTGGACAGTTTATGAAGGAAAAGAGATTGAGGTGTTTGAAGAGTTTAGACTGTTCACGTCGGAAGTGATTTCCAGAACAGCATTTGGCAGCAGCTACGTAGAAGGACAGGACATTTTTGAGATGTTGATGAAGTTAGGATTCCTAATATTCAAAAATATTCTCAAAGTCAGGATTCCTGGAATCAGGTAACACAGTACTTTTAATACTCCAATTGAAAAGAAGAGGAAATAGGGAAATTTTATAGAGTTACTTTTGTTATCTCATTTTTAGTCTTTCATTCAATGTTGCAGTAAGTTTTTCAAAACCAGCGATGAGATTGAATCGGACAAACTTGAGAAAGGAATTCATGCCTCCATAATAGAGCTGGTTAGGAAAAGAGAAAAGAAGACAATGGCTGTAGAAAAGAACAGCTTTGGGAGTGATTTTCTTGGATTACTTTTGAAGGCTAATCATGAAGCCAATAAGAACCAGAGGATTTCGGTGGATGAGTTAATTGATGAGTGTAAGACGTTTTACTTTGCTGGACAAGAAACCACTAATACATTGCTTTCTTGGACTGTCTTTCTCCTGGCACTCCATACAGATTGGCAAGAGGAAGCAAGAAAGGAGGTGCTACAACTATTTGGAAAACAGACTCCAAATCTTGATGGCATTGGCAAACTAAAAACAGTAAGAAACTTGTCTAGGTGGCAGAAATATGTTCTCAATAAAGTTTGAGATCCTGATTCAGTTATCTATTTTTCATTTTCATGCAGATGAGTATGATCATCAATGAGGCTCTAAGGTTATATCCCCCTGCTGTTTGGGTTATGAGGAATATAGAAAGGGAAGTTAGACTGGGAAAGCTCATTGTTCCTAGTAATCTTGAATTGGTTGTCTCAATCGTAGCACTTCACCATGATCCTCAAATCTGGGGACAAGATGTGCAACTTTTCAAACCAGAGAGATTCTCAGAAGGGGTTGCCAAAGCAACCAACAATCATGTTGGTGCGTTCATACCCTTTGGATTGGGACCTCGAACTTGTGTAGGCTTGAACTTTGCAACGACTGAAGCGAAGATTGCTTTGTCAATGATTCTACAACAATACGCATTCACCCTTTCCCCAGTTTATGTCCACTTGCCCTTACATTATCTTACAGTTCGGCCACAACATGGAGTTCAGGTAATGCTGCACTCACTTTAACGGCAAATGGTGTATCAAACGGACATGTTCCCTTGCACTTTGGGACAAGACAAGAGCTTGTTTGTCAATTGTCCTTTCAACTTTACCAAGCGATTGTTCTCTTTAGTTTGGCAGCATTTTGGACAGTCCAAAGTTTTCCTGTTTGTTCTTCTTTTTTGGGTACAATGAAATCTTATGCTTACAATTGTAATAAACATTTTCAATCTGAATGCATCATCCATATATAGTAAAAGGAATTTAAATAATGGCAGAAAGAAAGCTTAAACACAATATGTAATTAGTAATCAATCCCAAAACCAAGATGAGGGTACTGTCATTAACATAGGGACATTACATAAAGATGGATAGATAGATAGATTAACAAAAGCAGCAATAGAGTAGACTACTACTCTTTATTCATATAGCACTGAGTAAGTAGTTCCAAGCTATTTGGGCAAATCCTTGAAATAGGCAGCTGGGTTGCTCTCAAAGCTCTCCCTGTAGATTGTATCACCTCTTCCAGGTGCTTTCATGGTTCCAGCTGCATTGGCTCCAACACCACTTGCTGCTACATTGGACGACTTACCCCCGCCAGCATTTTGATTTCCAACCTGGCTATTGCTATTAATATTAGAGCCTCTGCTTCCTCCCATATTTGCAATCCAAAGTGTTTTTCTGGTTTATTTTTTTCTTGGTGAGATAAGATAATCCAGAGTGCAAATTACTCAGTTGGTTCTCTCTTGGAGGGGTGAATGGCTATATATACACAGATTGTAGTGCATCAGTTTGATTCTACGAATTAAAAGAGTCAAAAGAGGAAATTAATAGAAGAAGCATTGGAACTGCCAGAATAATATTGACTGTGAGTTTTCCAATTACCGTGATGGGATTGGGATTTGAATACGTGAACCTTTGGATGAAGATTATACATTGGAATATGGTGTTTCCAATCCAATCCAATCCATGTATGTGGTTTCTGAATGCTAATTAAGAAGAAAAGGATGGTATTGAAGTCAAGGCATTTCCCAACAACTGTACAATAAACAAAGCTTGAACGTCATCGAAGCTCTGCTAATTCAACCTGAAAAACTCCACTGGAATATGAAAACAGTAAGACAGTCAAGAACTCAATCATTAGCTTGTTCCAAGTGGCAGAAACGTTATCTTTTTTCTTTTCTTTTTTTTTCGTTTTGATGCAGATGAGTATGGTTATATTCCCCTGATGGTACTCTGTTAAGAAAAGCTAATGTTGAATTGGTACTTCACCATGATCCTCTAATCTGGGGACAAGACTCGCAACTTTTCAAATCAGGGAAAAAATTATTTATAAAAAAAAAAAGGCCCCAGTAGCCGCGCGGCTATACCTTCGTATAGCCGGGTGGCTGTCCTATTTATTACCCAAAAAAAAAAAAAAGATGTTGCTAAAGCTACTAACAATAACGCAGGCGCTTTCCTACCCTTCGGAGTAGGAGGATCTCGAACTTGTGTGGTGGGATTGCTCTGTCAATGGTCTACAACGCTACTCCTTCACCCTTTCCCCGGGCTATGTCCACTTGCCCTTTCAGCAAGTAACAAATCGCCCACTCCGTGGAGTTCAGGTCATGCTACACTCCTTAAATCTTGCACTAGGTACGTATCTAGAAACCAGACATTAATCATAATAAAGCCTTTGGTTATGAAGTGAAATTGATAAAGTCAGGATGAAAACAATTGTTTATGTTAGAAGATGCCAGTAGAATATGAAAGTGATCATGTTAACTGCTACATTAGAAACACTAAAAAATAAACTCGCCGTCCATTTTGGGACCCTTTTTGTCATTGGTGACGAAGTGGGGAGATAATTCCAACATGAAGTCACAACCATGATGTATCAGAAGTCGACAAATGACCAGATGATTTAAAACTGGTTTTTTCTCGACTTTTTCTAAACAATCAGGAGCAAGATAAGCTTTAAAAACTCACTAGGTTCAGAGAAAGAGATAGAGATAGCCAAAGAGAAAAACAGTACCCCAAAAAATGACTAGTTTGGGAGGCCTAATAATCATTCTTTCAAGCTTTCTGTGTCTGCTCCTTGTCTTAGCTTTCATCAAGATCCTTCACAAACTATGGTGGACTCCGATTCGCATACAGAAGCTGATGGCTTTGCAGGGGATCAAAGGTCCTTCTTACAGATTCATCCATGGAAACACCAAAGAAATCTCCAACATGAAAAAGGAAGTCATGGACAGGCCCCAAATTTTGTCACACGACATACTTTCTGTAGTTCAACCTCACATTCACTCGTGGACCAAGAAATATGGTAACTGACAAACAAGCCATCTCAATTAGTTAACTATTGTATTTAAATCTTAGTTCTATCTAAACAAGATCACTTTTGGTCATTTTTGCATGCAATTACAGGTAAGAATTATCTTCAATGGCATGGTTCACAGGCTCAGTTGGTCATTACAGAACCTGAGTTGTGCAAACAGATACTGAATAACAAAGGCAGCGCTTATCCGAAAAGAGAGCCCCCAAACCTTGTGAAGAAGCTAGTGGGAGATGGCCTTGTGGCAACAACTAAAGCTGAAAAATGGGCAAAATTGCGAAAGCTGGCCACCCATGCCTTCCATGGAGAGGGTTTAAAAGTAAAATTTTTTAAACTACTGGTATTTTGTTGCAAAGAGTATTATAGTAATAGCTGTGTCAATTATATTTAAACACCAAAAGATTAAATTGAAGTCAAAAGTCTGCTAATAGCATAATTGTATTATTGTTTTACTAGAGTATGATTCCAGAAATGATAGCTAGTGCCGAGACGATGCTAGAAAGGTGGACATTTTATGAAGGAAAAGAGATTGAGGTTTATGAAGAGTTTAGATTGTTCACGTCGGAAGTGATTTCCAGAACAGCATTTGGCAGCAGCTATGTAGAAGGACAGAACATATTTGAGATGTTGATGAAGTTAGGCTTCCTAATAGCAAAAAATTTTCTCAAAGTCAGGGTTCCTGGAATCAGGTAACATAGTACTTTTAATACTCCAACTGAAGAGAACAGGAAATTTAAAAAAATTGGAGAGTTACTTCTGTTATCTCAGTTTTAGTCTTTCATTTAATGTTGCAGTAAGTTTTTCAAAACCAGTGATGAGATTGAATCGGACAAACTTGAGAAAGGAATTCATGCCTCCATAATAGAGATGGCTAAGAAAAGAGAAAAGAAGACAATGGCTGGAGAAATGGACAGCTTTGGAAGTGATTTTCTTGGATTACTTTTGAAGGCTAATCATGAAACCAATGAGAACCAGGGGATTTCGGTGGATGAGTTAACTGATGAGTGCAAGACGTTTTACTTTGCTGGACAAGAAACCACTAATACATTGCTTTCTTGGACTGTCTTTCTCCTGGCACTCCATACAGATTGGCAAGAGGAAGCAAGAAAGGAGGTGCTACAATTATTTGGCAAACAAACTCCAAATCTTGATGGCATTGGCAAACTGAAAACAGTAAGAAACTTGTCTAGGTGGTAGAAATATGTTCTCAATAAAGTTTGAGATCCTGATTCAGTTATCTATTTTTCATTTTCATGCAGATGAGTATGATCATCAATGAGGCTCTAAGGTTATATCCCCCTGTTGTTTCGGTTATAAGGAAAGTCGAAAGGGAAGTTAGACTAGGAAAGCTGATTGTTCCTGGTAATCTTGAATTGATTGTCTCAATAGTAGCACTTCACCATGATCCTCAAATCTGGGGACAAGATGTGCAACTTTTCAAACCAGAGAGATTCTCGGAAGGGGTTGCCAAAGCAACCAACAATCATGTAGGCGCATTCATACCCTTTGGACTGGGACCTCGAACTTGTGTGGGCTTGAACTTTGGGACCACTGAAGCGAAGATTGCTTTGTCGATGATTCTACAACGCTACGCCTTCACCCTTTCCCCGGGTTATGTCCACTTGCCCTTACGTTATCTTACAGTCCGGCCACAACATGGAGTGCAGGTAATGCTGCAGTCACTTTGAACTGCCACAACATGGAGTGCAGGCAAGGTTGCCTTGTACTTTCAACTTGACAAAGCAATTGTTCTCTTTAGTTTGGCAGCATTTTGGATAGTCCAAAGTTTTCCTGTTTGTTTTTGTTTGTTAGTAGAATGAAATCTTATTCTTACTTTTTGATAATAAACATTTTCAGTTTGAATGCATCATCCATATATAGTAAAAGGAATTTAAATAAATAATGGCAGCAATATAGTAGACTACTACTCTTTTATTCATATAGTAGTAGTGAGTAAGTAGTTACTTCATTCAAAGCTCTCCCTGGAGATAGCATAATCTCTTCCAGGTGCTTTCATATTCCCTGCTGCATTGCCTCCACCACCACCACCACTTGCTCCTCCTACATTGGATGACTTACCTCCACCACCAGCATTTTGGTTTCCATTTCCAACCTGGCTATTACTATTACCATTAGACCTTTTGCTGCCTCCCATTTTTGCAATACAAAGTGTTTTTCTGGTTTCTTTTTTCCTTGGTGAGAAAAGTGCAAATTACTCGGTTCTGTGGCTTTGTTGGAGGGCTGCATGGCTATATATATACATACACAGATTCAGAATGTAGTGCATCAGTTTGATTCTAAGAATTAAAAAAGAGTGAAAAGTGAAAATTAATAGAAGAAGCATTGGAACTGCTAGAATTATATTGACTGTTTGTTCATCGAACTTGAGTTTTCCAATTACCGTGATGGCATGGGATTGGGATTTGAATACTTGAACCTTTGGATGAATATTATACATTGGAATATGGTGTTTCCAATCCAATCTAAGAATGTGGTTTCTGAATGCTAATTAGGAAGAGAAGGATGGTATTAAAGTCAATGCATTTCCCAACAACAATTGTACAATAAACAAAGCTTGAACTTCAACCTGCAATCCTCCATTAGAATTTGTTTAGTTGGCCTTGTTATGCTTTGCTCAAATATCAGATGCCTCAACCAGGAAAAAAAAATAAAAAATCACGTGTAATATGGAACTATGATTTACCGTATCTACTATCTCTCCATCAAGTTTCCTTGGAAATTGAAATGAGCCAAATTTTGGATAGAATAATAGAATATTGGGATTTGGGTTTGGATATAAACTCATAATCTACATGGACGTCTGAGCTTTCTAGACACTCCGTCCAGTGACATCCGTTACTGTTAGTGAGGAACCAAAATAATAAAATTTCATTTACTATTTACAACATGGCATGCTTGCTGTGAGCATGACATTTTAATATATTGGAGCACACAGATTTGACAGTTGCCAACTGGCAGTTGGCAGTTGACAGTTCCTGAAAAGCACCATTACAATGTATGACCATGATAGTGGACAGACGGTTTTACATGGTATAGTTGGAAGTATAGAGATTGGGCATCTTATTCAAATGCCTCAAAATCTTCTCAGCCATCTGCCTGGTATTTCCAGCTCCATGATGAAAAGCATTCACCAGTATGGCAGGCAACACCCTGTCGTTTGATATATCTGAAGCAGACTTATCCCCACCTTTGTTCAAGAACTTTTCAATCACCCAAAATGACTTCTGCCAGAGCCCCTCTTCCCTGTGCTCTTTCACCACATTCAAAACTTGTTGCACAGCGTTTGCCTCACTCAGCATGCTCACACTCTTGTCCACATCAACTTTGTCATCCAACAAAGTGCATATAGTTGACAATGCAGCTTCCACAACCTCTGCATTCTCATTTCCCAGACAAACCAATAGCCTCTCAACTGCCTTTGCATCAACTATGCAGAAGGTGTTTTGTGAAGAACAGACCCCTCTGTGAACCGGGCACAGTGGTATTTTACTCCTCCTTGATGAGCCACAGAATAGATACTTGGGCAGGTAGAACAACTTCTTTCTCTTGATTTGTGGTGGTTTGGATAATCTTATTGACTCTGTAGAAAGATTCTCCAACCCAATTGCTGATAACCTCTGAACTTCATCACTTGATGGTTGTATGAGTAGTTCTGTGAATACTGCTGTAAAATTGTGTGTTCTTGCTGAAAACAGTATTTGGGGTTCATATAATGTTGTTGTGAATCTGACTAGAATGCCTACTAGACCTTCTAAGTAAGCTCTTTCAAACCTGGTTGATCTTGTTCCTCTTTTTTGAATTTGATTGATTGCTTCTAGGATTGTAGGCACTGTATTATTGTATAGAAGAGCTAGGTTGAGCGTCAGGTTTTGATGGGGAAGTTGAGCTAGAAATTTAGCTGAAAGTGCCTGCTTCTCGGTGATGAGGGTTGTATCAGTTGGGCTCTGGACAAGATCCTCAGGCTGTCCTCTGGTTTTGCAGAGTCTTTCTGCTAGCACATTGCCCATAAGGGGTGAAAGAACAGTTAGTAGCGTGGTCGCTGCAATGGCAAGTTCTTCATGTGGGTTATTGATGAATTCAATGAGGGTGTAGCTTGCTTCAGTTTCTTTTACCAGTGAGACAATGGTGGCTGCAGATCTGGGGATCTTAGCAATAAACAAAAGAATTCTGATGAGGTTGTTGTTTAGTTCATCTGAGGTTGAGTTCTTGAGCATGTACATGATGTTACACACCACATAGTCCGAAGTCATGGTGTGACCGTGAGAATTAACCTGGAGGTTCTCAAGCTCAATCCCAGCATCAAGTATATTTGCAAGGATTGCAACTGCTTCATTTTTTGAGTTCATTGGCTCATTTTGAATATTTCGAATGAACATCTCTTCAACCATGATTTGCACAATTCCTGCTTCTTCAAGTATTTTTCCATTTGGCTGGTATAATGAGAGTTGTGCTAGAGCTTTGAATGCTGCCCTTCGGGTCAGGGTATTTCCCCTATGTACCATTTTGATGAGAGCAGGAGAGGCCCTCTCAGCAACATAAGTTTTGCTGTCATGTCCAAGAACAATTTCCCCAAGGTAACTTGCCATTTCCATCATCATCTCTTCACAACCTGTTATTTCAGAGAAAAAAAAAATATAAGATAACATTTGAGATTTTCAACAACTAACTTATCATATGTCATTTAATCTGAACTTGCAGAATGGTCACAATGATAAAATTAGTGGTCCAAAAAGTTTAAATTTCTTTGTTATTTATGCTTGGCTGGAACTTTGGAGTTGTGGAAATTACCTTCAGTAAGATTCTTTAGGAGGGGTTCCAGGAATCCATTTTCTGCCATGTTTTTTATGTTATTTGGCGAATGCTCTAAATTCCTTAAGATTTCATCTGCTTTTTCTGAAGCAAAGGCATCAATAGACCGTCTATATTTAATCCTGATCAACATAAGGATTGCTCCAGTGACTGATCCAATTCTCTCACATAATGATTGTGATCTTGAAAGCTCAAGCAAGTATAGCAATGATGCATGCCTTATGGACTGGTGACTACTAGAAAGCATCTTGATTATAGTTGAAATATTCGTTGTTTGCGCAATCATTTCCTGCACAAGAAACCACTGTCAAAGTTGGAGCAAAAAAGTTTTCATTCTAGTCAATCTACTGGTTTGGTTAGTGCATGTTTTAGTAAATCATAGTACTTTTCTTAATTGGTTGTTTCTCATTAGAAATGAGGAAATTGAAATTTGACCTTGCTGTCATTATCATCCTCCACCAGTTGCCTCAAAAGTTCCAGCACTGCACATCTAACATCTTTGTCTTTGTACTCCAGACACTGAACAAGCAATGGCAATATTCCAACACTCCGAACTTGCACCTTACTGTAAGGGTTCCCTTGGCAGATACTTTGCACGTCCATTACTGCTTCAAGTACCATATTCTCTGAACTAGCCAAGGACAATGCTGTACGAGCAACCTTAATCCTTGCTGCCTGATTCCTTTCCTTCCACTCCTCTAATGTGGATTTCAGAGCTATGTTGGCATTGAAAGATTTACTCATCAACTTTTGTCCAGTGATTGGGCAGAAAATTTCTTCTGAGTCGTTGAACATCTCAAACCACTCAACAATTGCTTTCCTCTCGTAGGTCACTCCACTTCTTATGGTTACTGGGTCATCCATGATCTTCTTTGTCAGTGGGCAGAAGAAAGTCTCATACAGAGGCTCCATGTACTCACCCACCTGTGGAAATGTTGTTAATGATCCACTCATGCTCCCATGTTTTCTTTTGCTGACCCAACTTGTGCTTTTAAGGATTTCAATCAGCTGAGGTGTATTTAAGAGCTGAGGATTCTCCGTGGAAACCTCAAAATCTATAGAGTAGAGATCTGTTTCTTCTTTTGGTGTTTGTTTTTCCTTTGGTTGCTCTTCCAAGGACAGCATCTTTGTATCTTGTTCATTGGTCTCAGATGTTTGACCTTCAAAATGAGCATTCTGCATCTCCTTTGAAAGCGACCGCATTGCAACTTCTGCATATTGTTGGTCTCCAAATGTGGAGGACGGTATCAAGCTCAGGCATTCTCCTATGTGCTTAATGACCTCCTCCAGCTGTGCTATAATGATTCTCAGTTCAGGATCTGAGAATGGTTGGATGCCTATTTGGCATCTCTCCACAAGATCTTTGGCCAGATTAACACTTTTGGAAATAGACTGCAGAATTTCCATTGCATTTTCTGGGCAGGTGTCAGTCATCTTCAACTCCATTATGGCCATAGAAGCCCGATAGAGGTAGCAAGCAGTCTCAATGAAATTTTCGTGTTCCACCTCGATGCTTACTACCAATTCCGTGATTTCTGAAATGGATGCCAGTATGGAATCTGCTAGACTTTCAACTGGACTTGCATCTTCCTTGAGCTGAAGAAAAGAATGATACAGATTAGTCTTTTACCACACTCATGAATCTATGAAGTTAAGGAATCTATTTTTCTATAGACAAAGATTCCTTGGTTTTCATCCTTAAGATACTCCCACAAAATAAAGTTAGTGATACAGGTTTTCTGCCACCAAGAAATTTAGTGAGTTAATAAAGGTTATTCAATTTAATAGTTTCATGTTTTTGTTTTTGTACTACTTATACCTGGTGACAGATATATCAGCTAGCATGCTTGTATCATTCAAAAGTTACCTGGGAAACTAATTCGTAAACGGTAGAACTTTACCACTTTGTAGATAGACGTATGAAAGCTTCCCAGAGCCTTGATTTTCATTTCTCAAACACATAAGAATTGTAAAAGGCTAAAAAGAAAGAAAAAAAAATGCTTTCGAAGTCTCCTACCGGCATCCAGTTGTAGTTGGTCTGAATTATATAGCCTTGCTGTTATGAACCTCAACCACAAAACCACAAAACCAGAGTGCTAAGCAGAAGACTTGGCAAAGATGAAACTTTCAATTATGAGTCACTGATAGCTCTTTGAATGTTTGTGTGATCTCACCGATAGTAATTTTTATTTAGTTAGATACCTTTTGTGTTGATAGACTCAAGAGCAGGCACAAAAGACTTGGTCAGCTAGCAATCACTTCTGGTTTGGCTGGAAGTTTCTATCAGATGAATTACTAGCATACAGAAGAAAGCCTCTGATACTGGTCAGTGTTACGTGTAGTCGTTCTTCTTCTTTTTTAATTAATTCCTATAGGATTGACTAAGTAGTTTCTTCAAGATATGCATTTGTTTTATTTATAATCAAGGTTTGAAATTCATGACTGGTAATTTACTTTACTTTAACAAGGTAGACTCTTTCTTTTTGCCATATATTAGGACCATGCTGAGTTGATGTGATGCAATGCAAGGTAAGCACTAAGAAATGTGTTTGACATTACAAAGAAGCTGGATGGAGGCATGAAAGCCTATGCACAACCATGTGAAATAACTAAACTAGCACTTACAGCTGATCCACTCTGATGCATGGGGAGACGGATTGAAGACGAAATGAAGACGGATCAAACTTAGAGCATCCACAATGATGCTCTTTATTTCTTAGCTAAAATTTAGCTAAAAATATAAGAAAGTCATTTTAGGAGCTCTCTAAAAAAATTTCAACTCCAACCATACTCCCTAATTTGGAGAGCCATAAATGCTATAACTCTTTTTTAATTGGTTCATCTCTCTTAAAAAAATAAAATAAAAAATAGTTAGCATTAAATAAAGGTTTGAAATATTCATTAAATAAAGCAGTATTAAATTATAGGGAGCCCCTATGAGTCCTTTCTCTCTCCTCAGATTAAGGAGCTCCTAGAAGACTCCCTATTTTAGGAGGTGGATAGGGAGCATAGTTGGAGTTGCATTTTTACAATTCCTCCCTAAAATTTGTCTAAGGATGTGATTTAGAAAGCTCATTGTGGATGCTCCAGTTTGGGATTGCTGTCACTTTTAAAAAAAGTTGCTTCTACTGTGCTTTGAAAATAATTAATTATAAAGTAAAGTAGCTCCATGTTTAGTAAACAATATTTTTAAAGTGCTGTTATTACAAAAAGCAGTGTCAAAACTGTTTGGTAAATTTTAATATAAAATTGTTGTAACTGTGAATAATGACTAAAATAGACATAATATTAAAAGTGTTATGTACTAATCATGTGGTGGTAGTGGTAGTGATGAAGTGGAGGTAGTGATGGTGATGAAGGTGGAGTTGGTGGTTGTGGTAGTGGTGGTGGTGGTGGTGGTGGGGATGGCGATTGTGGAGGTGGTGGTAGTGGCAGCATGGTGGAGGTTCTGTAGGTGGTAGTGGATGTGGAGGTTATGTAGGTGGTAGTGGATGTTGAGGTTTTGGAGGAGGAGGTGGTAGTGTTGGTGGTGATGGTGGTGGTGGTGGTGGTGATGGTGATGGTTATGGTGATGGTGGAGGTGGAGGTGGAGGTGGAGGAGGTGGTGGTGAAGGTGGTGGGAGGAGGTGGTCATTGTGGTGATGGTGGCGGAGGATGAGGAGGAGAAGGATGTGGTGGTGGTGGTGGCGGTGGCGGTGGTTGTGGAGATAGTGAATGTGGTGGTGCAAGTGGTGGAGTTAGATGTGGAAGTGGAGGTGGTGTCATTTTTAAAATGAATTATGGTATTTTGGGAATTAAAAAATTCATTAAAAGTTCATCTCTGCTTCTTTTGAAAGCAGCTTTGAAAAGCAACTCAGAGTCTACTTTTAAAAGCTGCTGTCAAAAGGCCACTACTTTTAAAATAATCGAAATATTTTATTTTTACCAAACACCTTAAACTGCTTAACTTTAAAGTAAAACAGGTTTTTGGCAAAAAAAAGCAATCCCAAACGGGACCTTAGTACATGAGCACATATACACTATCTTTACGAAACTCATGACGTTGGTTAACCAATACACTTGGAGAGAGAAAACTCATCATCCACTCAAACTTCTACACGTGGCATATACTTGTACGCACCAAGGCCACCACCCTTAAACACGTGACATATACAATTGGCTGAACTAGAAGCTTAATGTGCTAAACATTAAACGCACAATTATTACTTGAGGACAAATCGTTGTCTACCCAGATTAGAGCTTGCCACCATTTTATTGGATAAGGACGCTGGATCCTGGATGCCATTGCCACACCAGTAAGCAACCAGTCTACTCAACCACCATCGTCTTCGTGTTTGCTTCTTTCTTTATTCTTGGGTTGGTCAAGGCGTCGTCTCGTGATTCGTTGACCAAAAAAGCAAACTTCTTTGTTCTGTTACGTGTGCTTTTCAAGATAAAGCAAACTACTCAAACAAAGCGGCGACGAATTTCCTCATGAAAGTGACAGCAAGAGAAGAAGAGAAACTCTCACTCACTGTAAACCAGCAAAAAAAGAAAACAATGACCACTGACAGCAAGCAAACCAAGAACCCAAGAAAATGCAAGCAACCCATTAACGAGGAATCTCCACTGCTGCCAAATCAGAGGGGCTGCGATGAGCAGGCAGTGCAGGAATTCAATGGTGCATCTTTTGCTGGTGCAGTGTTTAATCTGTCAACGACCATTATTGGTGCTGGGATTATGGCGTTGCCTGCCACCATGAAAGTGCTGGGTCTTGGCGTTGGGATTGGTATGATCATTTTTGTTGCGATTTTGACAGAGGCCTCTCTGGAGATGTTGTTGAGGTTCAGCAAAGTGGGAAAGGTTGTGTCTTTCGGAGGGGTTATGGAGGATGCCTTTGGGAAAGCTGGGAAGGTTGTGTTTCAATTGTGTATCTTGGTGAACAATCTTGGAACGCTCATTGTCTACACGATCATCATTGGTAAATAATTTTTTTCATTTCTAGTCCTAATTTTTGGGTGTGAATTTTAATTGGGTTCCATCCATAATCTGATTTTTTCCTAATTACCAGTCTTCATACGGTATAATAGTACTTCCCCAATAGTAAATCAGGTGTGCAAAGCTCTGACTTAATTGGTACATACAAGAAGCATTCAAATTGTATGATACTGCACTTCAATTTCAACCAATTATGATGTCTGTGAAGTATTGTAATTAGGTTTCTATAATTGGTGCGCTGGTTGAAATCAAAATATGCTGGCACATGTATTTCTTTCAGTTTGATTACAAGTAAATGTGTAGTAATTCTCGTTGTTTTACTTTCAATGTGACTTAGGTGATGTGCTGTCTGGAACTTCTTCAACTGGAGTTCACCATGCTGGAGTATTGGAAGGGTGGTTTGGTGAACACTGGTGGAACGGGCGTACCTTCGTGCTGCTTGTCACAACCATTTTTGTATTTGCTCCATTGGCATCCTTAAAGAGAATAGGTACATAAAGACTGATTCTTTGTAATACTGAACGCAGAAAAAAAACTAATCCTTGTGATTAAATAATCCACACATTGGTTTCACCTGGAGTTGTTCAATGGCATAAGAACTTGTCCACAATTACAATTCTATCATGGAAGTTTTGCTTTAGCAGTTAAATACTGTCTGTGTCATTGGTCTTCACCAACCATTTTATTATATGGATCAAGCATTTCTGTAACTTGTGCCTTTTTGTGATTGCAGATTCATTGAGATATACATCTGCTTTAGCAGTTGCACTGGCAGTTGTTTTTCTAGTTATTACTGCAGGAATCGTAGTTATTAAATTCTTTCATGGAGGTATTTCCATGCCCAGGTTCCTTCCTAATGTGTCTGATATTGCATCGGTGTGGAATCTCTTCACAGTTGTTCCTGTTCTTGTGACAGCCTTCATCTGCCACTTCAACGGTATGCTAGCTGATCAACATGATATGCAGCTTTTATTTCAAAGTGAAAAAGCATAACCGTTAACAAGAATTTTCTTCTCCTGCAGTGCATACAATCGACAATGAGCTTGAGGACTCTTCCTTGATTCAACCAATTGTGCAGACATCATTGGCTTTGTGCTCTTCCGTCTACATACTGACCAGCCTTTTCGGGTTCCTCCTATTTGGGGACTCAACTCATGATGATGTGCTAGCCAACTTTGACACCAACCTTGGCATCCCTTATAGTTATTTGCTCAATGATATTGTTCGCATCAGCTATGCCCTGCACCTCATGCTTGTTTTTCCTGTTATCTTCTATCCACTGCGGCTCAACTTGGATGACCTCGTCTTCCCCTCATCTAGGCCTCTGGTTGCAGATAATTGTAGGTTTGCATTAAGCACCATTGGGCTCATTTCTGTTGTCTTCGTGGGTGCAAATTTTATACCCAGCATCTGGGATGTATTCCAGTTTTCTGGAGCTACTGCTACTGTTTGCATTGGGTTCATCTTTCCTGCTGCCATTGCTCTAAGGTGAGTTTTGTGGCATACAATTGTTTTCATTCCATTTTCATTTTGGATTTATCTTTCCTGCTGCCAGTTTAATTTTTATGTTCTGGCGATGAAGGCACTTACATACGGATTATCTCTCTGAAATGCCTGATTAGTGATTGATGAATGTGCTTAAAAGGTTACATAACATCGTAAATTCATTCTGAGGAAAAGCTGAGTTGTACTCGAGTTGGTTTAGATGCTTATAAATTCAAAAAGAGTTCACACAAGCTGTCATCAATTTCAATTTGGTTACAAAGCTAAATCAGATATCTGAATATCCTACTTCTCATTCCATGATTTGGTTTCAAATTTCTGCGATGCAGAGATCGACATCGAATAGCAACAAGAAAGGACAAGATTTTATCTGTTTTCATGATTGGTCTTGCCGTGTTCTCAAATGTGATAGCAATATACAGTGATGCCACTGCCCTGTTAAAACATGTGGTGTCCCCTGGTGCATGATTTTATATTGTTTCACACATTAGTTGAACAACCTGTACGTATACTGCATGCCATAGCCATTTGAAATCCAGAAAAACATTGATGTTTTCTGGGGAGATATGTGTATAATAAGGTGAAAGAACTCTAGCCTATGTACCATTCGTCTCTGGACACGCAGCCACCGGCTCCATGTGTATTGGAAATTTCTAACGCAACACCTCAATTCTTAATTCTTCCAGGGCCCTAGAAGTAAGCTTCCCTCTAATCTTCCTTGATGCACACCGGGGTAGGATTTTACTTGAATTTGCTCGTCTGTTTTAATTTATAGGGCAGATTTTGTTTATTTATATAAACTGATTCATAGGAAAGCCTTTGAAATTATGGTGTCAAGGAAGCCGATACACTTACGAATACGCCAAACCATAAAAAGGGTATTGCATTCCAAATTCAACTTCTGTAATTTTCACATTAAAATCTAATGAATTTGCTTCAAAATCGAGTAAAGAATCAAAAGGGAAAAAATCCAGTACGATAACTTATTCTCTACCTTTGACATGAAGAACAAAATATACAAACAGGACTTGACAACAATTATGTTGACCTTTTATGCAAGCCACTAATAAACACACACCCACCCATATCTGTTGCACTCGTCATCTTCGAAGAATTAAGACCTCCACAATATTCATCAACCATCCACTGCCCATTTGTTTGAATCAACTCACCAAGTGTTTTTCATGCTCTTGGTGCTTTAATTTGCTCTGATTTACAACATGTGGCTGTTCGTTTCTCGAATGCTGCATGTTGACCATCTTGTTTCCCCAATCCTTTTAAAATAGCGGATGCAGAAGACAGCCAAGGCCCCTGGGATATCTCCAGCTAATTCTTGAAGGTAGCTTGTCTCGACATATGTACAAGAGTACGGACAGCAAATGGATAGCAGCAGTCAAATCAAGATTTTTTCCACCGGAATTGTTCTCCTTGACATCACGCAGGAAACTTGTCTTGACAATCTCATACAAATTAAATTGCATCACCTTGTGATTGAATGATATAAGGAACTAAAACAAGCAAAAAGGGCACTGCTGCCTAGCAATCATCTGGCTCAGACTAGTTGAAGAAATAGGGAGATTCAAGAACATCTCTGAGATCGAAGTCTCCGCGATCTGGCAAGGGGGGGAAAGTCAAGGTGGGGAAAGACCGTTGAAAGCCTTCCAACAACTGTAAACATAAAAGTACAAATTAAATAAGCAAGAAAACATGGGAAGAGCATATTTCAATTTCATAAGATACAGAAAATTGGGATCACAGTACGAAATGCAATTTAAAATGCTGGAAATATTTTTCTTTTAATAGCCCAGGAATTATTAAAAAGTAAAAACTTCTGTGGTGACAAGCAAAGGAGTGTGCTTCGAAATCCCCTTTAATTTTTTATTATCATGTGAAGGATTATTTCTAATCTAATGTCACCGTTCGTTACATTTTTTTGTTGTTACTAATTTTATAGAAAATAAATTCTAACAAGGGGAACTGGTGAATCATAATCTCACAAGTGACAGAGCAGCCTATCTGGTACTAAACAAGGATCGCCACACTCACACCAAGTAAAGATACTCACATTCTCCAGTATCGGTGCCTCGTAGAGTTCAACAAACTTCTCCCTTAGTATCCTATTCATTTCGTCAATATCACATGCATGCGTCCAATATGAATCATGCACTCCTGTATCATTAGCAGTTATTGGGAAACCTCCAAACATGTGAACGGCTACTAGCCTATACAAGAGAGAACAAATAGCAAATAAGAATACAGGAGAAACCTGCAAAGTTTAAGCCAGCCTTTTTGCAGGCAACAGCAGTCATCATCATGTGGGAACCATCAAGGGAGTGAACAAAATTCGGGGGAAAGGCTGTCCTCTGCCGTTTAACCATGACCTTGTCAGTTTCTCTTTGTAATGTCAACACCTGAAGGGAAGTCTTAATCTGCATTCAATTCCAAGTGGTATCTTAGTTAATACTGGCCTTAAATGTTTTTTAAGGTACTTTCGTAATTAAGTAAAATATATGGCCACATCTGAAGTTCTAAGAAGTTTAAAATATTACAAGATGCCGTCCTAATTGCCGGTACGGTTGTACAACAGGAAGTCCAAGGGGAGTGATCCACCGAACTGGTTGATTCTCTGAAGCTATCACCTATTTATGTTCAAATATAACTGTCAGAACTAGTATAAGAACAATACAGAATCAGTTCATACTTTAAAGAATTGATATCTTTCAGACTTGTGCTCAGAGGCGCAGGTGCTAAAAAGCAAGTAACTTACAACCAACAGGTCCAACACTAATATCATTAATCAAACATAGAATCTGAATCTGTCCCTTGTGCATGTGCTCAGGTTTCAAGTCATTAACAGTTACACGCCATTCACACATAACTATGAGGTACAAACAGACCACAAAGTAGATGAAACATACCTTTGCACATTCACCAAGCCAACTCATAATACTTCTTGCAGCTTCAAACATCTCTCCTAAGGCAGTTAAGGTGGTCTGCTCACACAGTAAAACAATAAGTACAGACACATAGACATTGGACACATAAGCACACTACAGTTTCTTTCACTAACCCTTGCAGCATAGCAAGCTGCGACAAACAGCGCCGTGTCATCAGCTATGGAACCACGCTCCTTTAATCTCCTCTTAATTTGTTCGCGTGCTCCAACATAAGTAACACCATATACAGACGTCATAACTGTCTGCTTCACCAATTTACGATCCACCTAAAATTTCCAATCACCAAAGCCAAGCATTAGAAACATCATACTAAGCAGTAACGAAGAAGCAGAAATGAAGAAAATTACTCAAAATCTTAACACTTTGGCAAGCACGATTAACGATATTAACCTGATTAATTAAAAGCCTAGCATGCAATGCATTTGGATTAGTGGCAGGATCTTTTTCTGCATCATTGCGCATTATATCAAGTACTCTGCATAGCCACAAAAAATTTCATTAGACAAATTAACAAGAATGATGTCACTTATCAGTGGTATATTTCTAGGGAAAACAACAAATTTCAATCTTCTTTTTAAAACAGATATTCTTATGGAATGAATTAGGCTGCTGATTCCTCTTAGTTTTCTACATCCAATTCATATTATTGCAAAAGTTGCAAATGCTTATATGCCATGCCAAAATGAATTTTTGCTCACCAACTCAACTCGGAGAAAGTAACAGTTACCTGGCAGCAATTCCTGAGTAAACATCTGCAGGTTTATCTCCCCCCACAAGATTTACAGCAGCAGCTCCAAGCTAAAAAAGGATTAGCAATTTGATCAACAAAACAAATACTCACACAATCACTAAGATATAAACGAATTGTTCGGTTAGTCGAAGCAATGTGATCAACCACAAAAGCTGTCGTTGGGTGCATAAAAGGCTAGGGTTGGAGATCTCATCTGAGTAAGATGAACACGGTGGTGCAAGTGAATGAACTACTATGATCATAGATTTGGAAGAGCTTCACATTAAAACTAAAATATATTGAACCTTTTTCTTAATTTTTAACAATAAAAGGGTTCATTACCTTGTCCCTTCCAAGGGCTGCATAGTGTTGTAAACCATTACATGAGCCATCCTTGCAACACAAAAAGAGAACTGAGATCAATTTTTTGGATAACAGAATCGTATGTACCAAATCACTAAATACAAAACATAGCAAAGCATGGGAGATGTCCAATGGTCTCTCAACTTCAATAAAAGTGACACAGTTGACAAGGCAACAGGACAAATAGAAATCTCAAAATCGTTCTCCACCAATGATACCCATCATAAAATTTTATAATGTGTAACCAACCACTATTGATTCTAAAATCTCTTCATTTTAGTACCTGGAAATTCAATCCAAACCAATTAAACCTTTTGGTTATCTTTCTTTTTACAGCAGAAGACGGAAGTGATTTCAACTTCCCAGATGATGCAACTGTAACCATGTAGAATTCACAATTTTGGTAGTTTCTTGGTTCGGAATAAAGTAATGAAGTTATAATTGTTTGTAAAATATGATTAGAATATTATGCGAGATGAATTACCTGGTGGACAGGCATATATGAAATGGTAGTCTCTGGAGAGGGGCTTCTCAATGCTTCACAGAGATTAATGCATGCTGCCAAGCACTGGAAAGGATCCTCTGCACCCAACCACCAGCGCCTTCCTTCAAGAGGTCTGTCTGCGGAATCAAAAATTTCATCTACGTGATTCTCAGTAAATGCTGCTCGATCATCAAAGGAGAGTTTGTCTACGCCCCCAGCATATAAATTAGCCAAATGTATCTTCAACCAGCGTAAGCCTGACTTTCCAAGATGCCGTCCCTCTGAAAACTCCAAGATGCCTCGGCACATATCGGAACCAAGATGGTTTAGATATGGGTGCATGGGGTAAGCACGACCTCGGAAATCGAGGTTGTGTGGGTAGTAGAAGCCCTCCTCATCCTTCATCTTTCGAGATGCCTATTCCAATTCAGTGAAACTTGGTATTAGAGTATCCAATAGCAGTGATTATTAAACTTAACAAGAATGATTCTTACAGCAAGTTTAAGTTCTATATCACACCGCTGTGAGTGCCTCTCACTATTCTCCTTCTTTGCAGCTTTAAGTTTCCACTTCCATTTTCTGATTTCTGCCTCATCTTCTGTGTCTGGTTCTTCAGGTAAAGGAACCTTTTCAAAGCAGGAAGAAAAGTGAAGGTAAATCATTTATCGATAAAAACCAAGGTGCTGAATTACATGTTAATTTCAAATTGCAGCAAAACAATAGAATTTCTGTCAAACAAAACCAGTTTCTTCTGCCCAGAAGCACAGGAAAGGTATGCACCACCAAGTATGGGAAAAAAAAAAAATTCCAGTTAACCATAACCCACATCTTCACGGTCAACCAAGTCAGCAAGACGGCCTCCGCTAGCCCATATCCTGTCTATCACACCAAGTACCCTTTTGTTTACCCTCCATTTGGTACTTCCAAGAGTATCCAGGGCCTAAAGACAGAGAACAATTAAGAGATTAGAAGAAGCTCCAAAAATTACAAGTGAAGAACCCTTGCACTGGTGTAAACATTTAAGAGCTGTTTCTGAGGAAACAGAAATGCAGGAAAAGATGCAGCGCAGAAACTAAAAGTAACAGATCCTGGGGTTTTCAAACCTCAAAAACAGGTTCTAATTGCTTTCTAGGAGTCCTTTTAACAACTTCGCGTTGTTGTTTCGCTCCATGAGTTCGCATTACATAGGATGGTAAGAATAAATATGCTCCTCTGTCATACCTGCCAAAATATACGAACAGGCAATAAGAGTTGGCCAAAACCCCAAAGTGCTTAATCTCGCTAGTTGCTTCAAAACTAAGAAGTCCAGCTAATCTAAATACTTCATACCCGGTCCAATTAATAGGGGGAACCAACATAGGCATATAAGGCATGACCATGTGCCTTGCCTGCATGGACAGAACAGAAATCAGTACAGTTGCTACTCAGGTATTCATACGCTTGTATGAAAAGTAAGATTATTGTCCTTGTTAGTCACAACACAAGAACAAAAACATTAAAGAAACAACCTAGAATCGCGAGCATGAGCCAAACATGCTGTTCAACTTACAGTTTTGTCCATGCCTTTGCGAACTAATGGGTCGCACTCTATAACGCCATATCTCCTACTGGTCTTCCTATTGTAAGAAACCCAGAGAAGTATAAAATAAATAAATAAACTGATATTTGAAGAGGAGAAGAGTGATAGAGAGCGGGGTTAAGAAACACAAAGATTGAATATTTCTTACTGTGTGTCTTTAGTAATAGTCTTAAGGTTATGTACAAATGCAGGGCGTATATCAGGTGGACCATCTCCTATTTGATCAACTGGAGGTTGTATATAAGCCGTGTCCATCAATAACTGAATCAATCGACAGCCAACCTGGAAAGTACAAGCACCAAGATAATGTAGCAACAATAACAAGAAGATAGTTTGCTTATTTGAATCTATAGACATCACAGACCTTAACATGGGCTTCCTGACCCCATGGCTTCAAGTCTTCTTGTTCTTTCACAATTCCTCTAACTTGCTGCATTTTCTGCCTTTTTATTAGTTTGTTAACCTTTTTCCTAAGTTTCTCTTGTTCATCGGCCAGTTTCCCTTGTTCATCGGCCAGTTTCTCTTGTTCATCGGTCACAGGAACAGAATCAGCTTCAGCCTTCTTATCAGTAGTGTTCTTCTTCTTCTTTGTCTTCTCCAAAAATCTGTGTATCCTAACCTGATAGACATGATCATTTTATATAACTCCATTAAGTTCAAAACCAACAAATAAATGGAAAATAGCATGTCAATAATATTTAGCTGCTAATCTGACTGGGTACTGAACCAAGCATGACTACCGAATGAAAAGCCTTCAATTAGTCATGGAGGCATGAGAGGCCAGACGACTCAATTTCATACCAAGGCAATACATGTAATCCTAGAAAATGGAAGTTCATGTTTGTGTGTATATAATCCTACAAAATGGAAGTTCACGTTTTTGTGCCTATAAGGAATTTAAGTAATGAGTTTCTACCAAACCTAACAAATTGATAGTTGACCGATAACTAAAATTAAAGTTCTAGCCAAATTGTTCATACTACAGCAAACTTAGAACCAAAATCGAAGTCACCGCACCTATCAATGTTCCCAGAAAGAAATTTGGTGAATTTGAACCGCATATGTCAAAAATAAAGATGAAACATGAATTACGAAATAAGAAAATTCTAAGCTCACAGACCTCATGCTCAATGGCTTCACCTATCGCACAAGCAGCTTGGACTACCCTGACACTGCCTACTCCACCATTATTTGTCATCAATAGCCCCATCAACTTATGCATTGTAATAACCGCCATCTTATCGGCGGGTAAGTGATCAAAGTAGGGAGCATGACTCTGTCTACTGTTAGTTTGCTTGCAGGAATCTTGGTCCGCCGCAATGGCATCTCGTAAAGGCTCAAACCAACCAAGAAACAATGACTTGATGTATGGCAAATTGGGTGCTAGCTTCTGCTCACACATGTCCGCTAAAAGCTCTTGGTACTCTTTGGCCGCCTCTTGCCAAGCCTCCGTCTCCAGTTTTATTTGCCTCTTCCGAAGAAGATTGTACTTTCCTACTCCCATACCAACCACCACTCTCTTTGGCTGCTTGAAATGGGACTCCACCATGTTGTTTTCTCTTATCAAATCCTCCAACATTTCCTGAATTTCTTCAGACCCCGACGAGTCCTCCTCGCCATCTGTCGAAGCAATGGCCTCGGCAACGCTGGCATAGCCTTTGGCGTAGTTGCAAAACCCAGAAATGCCATAAGGGTAACTTGGGTTCAGTGAACTGCATCTGCCCAATTCATCCTTTTGAGAAGCCATATCACCAACTTGACGAAAACCCATTACCAAAATCCGATTATTTATGCATTTCCGAGCCTCGAAATGCCAGGCTTTCTCGAGAAAGCTCGATTCTTGAGAAAATATCATAGAAGTAGAAGAAGGGGAACTAAAATGAGATTGGGAGGAGAGATTGGTCTTTCTCGAAGCAACTTGTTTAGCCAAGTTTCTCCACATATTTCCCAGTAAAATTTTCAAATTAATCAATCCGACTTGCAGGTGCTGAAAGATACTGAGGAATGGAAAATATGATACGGGACATCAAAAAGGAAAATCTTAAATTGTCGAAGAAGCAGAAAATTGGAGAAAAAAGTCAGAAGCTATAAGAAAATTACAAGTTTTACTTCTAAAAACAAAAAATCTACAAACGAATTGGACGATCTCGAGCGATCGAGGAGGCAGGGCGGAAGGGTGTGACTGGGTTGAGTAGCCGCCTTTAAACCCTCCTTAAAACCTACGTTTTCTGTGTTTCTGATAAAGCCGTTGGGTCTTCGACCCGAGATTTTCCAAGTCCGTTTTACAACTCAAATTACAAGTCGGTTTGTGGGTTGTCTGGAATGATTAATTGGGCTCATTTAATAGCAGTAATATGGTCCCATGGGCTGGGCTTTGCCCTCATGGTTTGTCATTTGGGCCTTCCTCGTATCTGAGCTTCAACGTGTTTTTGCTTTTTTTTCTTTTTTTGGTAAAACAAAAGATATGAGTGAGCATTTTAAATTACTAACAAGTAGTGTCAGATTAATCTAAGGGCTTGTATTAAAGAGTTGCTCACAAGTCCTCATTTTTAAGTCCTTAAGTGAGCGACACTAGTCGTATTAATCACTCTTTTAATTTGTATACATGTTACTATTATGCAATTAGTTAATCATTATTGATCAAATTATCTATTTATATTAAAAAAATTCTTTCATATAGATGGATCACGTCACCCATCCCAAGAGTCTCTTGTTTCTCTTGTGTATGTGTGGACAGGTGATGTAATTCACCCGCAGGACCCAAGAATTTCTCCACATAGTGGCCAGAATCTAATTTGAGTATCTCCTTGCCTAGGCCTCTGTTTTAGTGAACGTGCTAGGTTACAAATTTAGTAACCTTAGATTAACCATACGCGTTTGATGATCATGATCCGTGAAACTTGCATTCGCAGTGGAGGACATTATATTCTGCAGAGTTTGTGGATCATTTATTTTAATTTCAATCACCGCATCTTGAGCATGAAGACCGCCACCGTTTTCCAGTTTCTTCATGCATGAAAATATTTATGGAGGCAAAAAAAGTCCTCTGTATTTGAGAATATTGAATTGTTTCTCGTAAGGTGGAAATTGGCAAAAGCATTTAAGCATAGGTCCACATAACCAAAGGCACGCATTTCCCTCATACCAAGTTAGCGACCGTATGCTTTCTTCTAAAGGCTAATCAAATATTGCCAAAAAATTTATATAAAACATCATTTCTGCCAGACATTCAGTCGCTCCATGGATCGCTCTCTGCCCTCACTTCTGATGGTTCTATTATTTGTGGTTCCACCGCTTCACCAGCACTCGCATCAGATGATTCTCCTGCATCACCGTCAGCTACCTCCGTCTCTGCCTCCTC